AGGCAGGAGAAGCGCAGTGACCCGGCCAGGTGGCGATGATGCGGCCGGCCGCGCCGGTCACTCTTGGCCGCCCCGCGAGCAGCCGGACCCCCTCGCACGGGTCACGGCGCCGGCAAAACTCCCTGACACAGAAACGCCGCGGGGCCTGCGCGTGTCGCCAGCGGCCTCCGTCTGATGGGAAGCGACAGCTCCGCCCGCCTCCCCCCGCCGGCCCAGCGCGTGTCGCCGCGTCCTCCCGCGTGGCAGGGCGGAGGGGGACGCACGGCTCTGCGCGGCCTCTCCGAGCCGGCGACCGCTGTCCTGCGGCGAGCCGGGCAGGCCGTCCGCGTGTCTTGGGGTGTGTTTGCAGTAAGCGCCCTGCTGAGACACCCCCCACCCCCAAAGCCAGGGCCCAGTCCGAAGGCGGCCAGAGCACTGCGGAGGCCCTGGGGTGCGTGCCAGGCCGGAGAGCGTCCCCTCTGTCCTCTGCCTCCGGGCCCACGCCACACCCTCTGCTCCCCGCGGGCGTGGGCACTCGCGTTGGCACCCCACACCTAGCCGCAGGAGCACTGGGTGGCCACCTCCCACAGCACAGGGGCACTAGCGGCCCTGCGCAGGCACACTGTCTGCAGCCCTGCCCAAGGGCTCCAGGCGGCCCTCCTTGCCTTGGCCCTCGGAGGAGCAGCGGCCCTCACCACAGCCCTTCCTCATCTTTTTTTTCTTCTGCTCCCTTGGGCCCATCCTCGTCCTCACTGTGGCTTCAGAGGAGCGAATCTGGTGTTGAAAGAGCAGGGCCTAGGTGAGAAAGCAGGGACCTCGCCCCTGCCCACCGCCTTAGGCCGCTGGTAGCTGGGTTTCGGTGCCCGGCTGGTCAGGGACCTGGCCCTTTCCTCTGCAGCCTGGCCTGGAGCACAGCCACTCCAGGAGCCGCCCCTCCACTCCTGTGCGGTGGCGCCTCACTGCACTGGCCTTCCCGTGAGCCTCACCGCGGGCTTTCAGGAATCCTGAGAGCTCCTGCCAAGCCGCAGCCTCCTCATCCTGCTCCTCCCAACCCGGCACCAGCTTACTCCTGGATGGATGGATGGATGGATGGATGGATGGATGAACGAACAAGGGGTGCTGTGGGTGTGGCTGTGTCTGCTGTTGGGGGTGACTGTGTGTGGGTCAGGAGGGCACAGCCAGGCGCAGGCCCCTCCCAGCTGCCCAGGCGGTTTCCGTTTGACGAAGAAATGAGGGCTCAAGGCTGCATGGTGGCACACACCGTCATCTTAGCACCCTGGGAGGCAGAGGCAGGAGGGTCATAAATTTGAGTCCAGTCTGGGCAACCCAGTGACTTGAGACCTTTTCTCAAAATCAGTAGTAAAAGGGGCTGGGGTGTAGCTTGAAGAGGTCAGTGCAAAAGCCTGGAGCGGGGCAGGAATGAAAGCTCAGAGAAGTTATGCTAATTCCCCAGAGTCACAAAGCTTGCCAGACTGTTGGACCCTAAAGCTGAGGATGCTGAGCGCTTCTGCCTCCCTCACATTCCAGAGAGTACCATGGGGGACTATCTCTGGTAACCATGCGGCCTCTGACCCCATCTCTAGGAAGCACCTGAGGGCCGTCTCCCCTCTACCAAGCCCTTCAGCCTAAGGCCCCTTTCTGTTGTCTGTGCTGTATCACTCTGCCCACACCACTGTCTCCTCGGTGATGTTTCCCAGGGCCTTCAGCACTGCCAGGAAGCCAGGGCCATGATCTTGGTCTCACCACTAGCTGGTGGCCTTGGGAAAACCACTAGCCACAAATCCTCCCTGTCCTTGGTGTCCCAAAACGTGTGTGGGGGTCAGGGGAGCTTGAGTAGATGGTGTCCAACCACTAGCACCGTGCCCAGCATGGGCACTCTGGACGCTAATCCCTGGTGAGAGGAAGGGGGACCCCAGCACAGTCCGCCCCAGGCCCCCAGGAGGACTCAGGCTCAAAGAGGGCTGGGAAATGCTGTGAATTAATTACCATCAGACCTCCGGCCGCTGTTCATCTCTGTAAACAAATATTTTAATATGCAGTAATTAATTACATCTGCCACATCGACCCTCCTCCCGTTCATCTTTCTTCAGCTATTCTTCTGCTCACCCTAGACCGACCCCTGCTCCACACCAGGGCTTGGAAAGGAGGCAGGAGCCCTCAGCCAGGCTTCCCAGCCTTCACCCCCACCATCAGCTGCAGGTGCTCACAGCTGCCGGGCAACTCTGCGGCTTTTCATTCCATTTTGTCTCTCTAATGCCCGGCTGTCTTTCTGGCGGTCCTTTGTCTCCAGTTCTCCCTGCCTGGATTTCCCTCCCCAGGGACACATTCTGGAGAGCACCATCTACTCCAGGTGGCTAAACACACTCCTCCCAGGGCTAGAACCAGGCTATTTACGGGGATGCTTGGGGACCCTCTCCCCCCTGTCCTGAGAACTCCCGGTGTCCTCCCACCCAGCCGGTCTTCCTGCCCCACTCTCTTCTCCCGCCGCAGCTGTGTGAAAACCACAGAGGGGGCGCAATTTCCCTGGTAAGTACCCCAGGCTATGCCACAGTTACTCTTCTCCAGACCCAGGAGATCCACCTTGTGCGCCTCGGCCCTCCCCAGCTTCCCGCGGTATCACGGCGGGTGCGGGTGCGCTGAGCTGCGGGGATGGGGCGAACTCTCTCTGGGGCGGTTCCAGGCGTCTGGCGAGAGCGGGAAGTGACCGGCCCGACGGAGGGGGGAAGCTTGGTGCGGACGAGGCGCGGCTCGGCCCGGCGCCCTGGGCGGCCGGGAGGGGG